GGTTTGGCGCTCAAGGTGTCCTGCTTATTATTTTTTTAATAGCCAGGCCGGCGGGAGGCCAAGCCCGCAGGGCGCCGAGGCGTTATCTGGGGGCCGTGGCGGCCTCCCGGGCCCTACTCGCCTGTGGCACCACTGCCGGGCGCCGGGCTGCCATTTTGTCACCGTGGCTGTTGTCGCTGTGGGGGTGGGGGGAGCGGAGTCTTGCGCCATCGCCCCGACGGTCCTAGACGTGGAGGCTGCAAGCGGAGCCAGCTCTAGGGATACCCAGTTGTGCTTTGGGCCCTGATGGGGGTTTCTTCCCCGAGTCCAAGGCCTGATGTTTTTGCTGGAGCGTGGCCGTGGCCGATTCTTGCGGGGGAGTGGGGGGGCAGTTATCCTCTCGGATTGTGCTCCCACCCATCGCGTTCCCTCCCTACCTCTCCCGCCCCTCTGCTCGCGTATTTTACCCTTTCTCCTGCAAACGTTCTAGACGTTAAATGTGGCCCTAAAGACGGGCGCGATCGCCCTGGTGTTTGCTCTTTCGGCAGAACTGATCGAAGGGGTTGAGGTAGAAATTAAACAGGAGGTTTCTTGGCGGGGGGTGAGGGGGTGCGCTTCAGACTGTAGCAGCTTTGACAAGCCAAGGACAGCAGCCGCTCACCCGGGAGGGACGCGTTGTCGAGTCGTTGGGGAAACGCCCTCCGGGGCTGGGCTCTCCGGGAAGGTAGGTCGCGCTCCGGGTTTCAGGTGGGTGTTGCAGCGCCCTGCGGGCTTCTGGGGAAGGGGCCCCCCTCCCCCCTTTGCTCTTCCTCTGCCCCTCCCCTTTTAATTTTTGCATAGGGGAAAACAACTCCTGTAGTAAATGCAACCCTAAACAGAATACAGAAGGGAATTAAGCTTTTCTTTTTTAAAAAAGTAAATGTCTTTTTGCCAACCCCCTTTTTTCTGGCTGCAGAGCGAGGCAAGGTGTCCCATCATATGCATCTCACTGGGACTTTTAAAAATGCTGATAGGGACGCTTGTTAAGCATGTTACTGGTTAAACTGTGGCGTCTGCACGGTTTTCATGGCACTGCCCGCAAAGGCTGCCCAGGGAGCCAGGTCTAACTTTGACCTTTGGAATACATCGCATGATGTTTTCCAGGCAGACTTACTGCCTAATTGGGTTCAGGCAGCCTGATATTAACTCCAGTTTATGCGGGCCAACAGGGATCCACAGGCAGAAAATGGTGCGTGCGCCTCTGTATAGCCACTGTCAGCTGTGTTTTTTCCTGGATTGCTGCTGCTGAGGGTAGTTTAGAGTATGATGACTCCACAGACAAGCTGGAACCACAGAACCACCTGAGTTTGAATTCCCCTTGCCACACAGAGTTAAGATACGTTAACTTGTCTCTGACCTCAGGCAGGTTAACTTAACCTGCCTGTGAACATTGGTGTCCTCACCTCTCTAAAACAGGAATAATAATCCTGTGTAATGAGTAAGTGACAAAACTGGCTTGATGGGGCCCTCAGGTACTCAGTATATAGTAGTGTTATTCTCTGAGAGATATAGGGGTGCTTTGAAGCTCAGCTTTGAGCTTCTCTACTGTTTAGAGTTAAGAACAACAATTACTGATAGCTGATACTCACAGAGCACCCATGCTATGTGGGGACCAGTTCTAAATGGATTCTACATACCAGTTAATTTAGGTCCTGTTATTATCCTCATATTACATCCAAGGAGAAGGAGGATGAAAGGTTAGCAGAGCCGACTGGATAGCCTCTTTGAAGATACTTAGGGGGTAACCAGGACCTGAACCTTTGTGGACTGTCATTTTAAGGAGGAAACCATATACACTTTGTGAGCTGGGCTTACCGCACATCATACTGGGTTAGGCTGAAACTAATCTGGCATCTTAGGTGTTGGGGTCACACATTTGGGTAAAGAAGTATTAGGAGCCACTCCCACATAGTGGTTTGCATGTGATAACGCATGTAATACTTTTTTGTGTGTTTTCATTTTTATTAGTCTTACCCACAACCAAAATACTGAACAGAGTTGGCATGTCCTTGGTATCCAGGATGTTGCATATGCTAATAACACCATGGATCATCTCACTTAATCTCTCCAACAACTCCTGGCTGGGCCAAGCAGTGTGACAGCCTTCCTGTTGGCAGAGTAAATCATGGAGGTTGCGTCCCCAACATGGCCCATTCCTATAGTCACCCACACAACATGTAAAATGCAGATTTCTGTCCTGTCTTCCCCACCCTCAACACTGGTTTAGCACAGGCTTAGCCAAATTGCTGGCTAGCTAAGATACTTTGTAAACATTGTGATCAAGTTGATATAGACCGTTTAAAATTGAATCTCAATTAAGTGAAATATTATCCCCTCCCAAAGAATTCCACTTGTTGTGTTAGACTTTTGTTACCTAAAAATATTGTACTCAAAAATTTTGATTTTTTATTACATATTTTGTAGTTCATTTAAAAAAATAGTGGAAATGTGTTTCTGCATAAAAGTTGCCTGTGCAAAATTGTCGATTTGTCTCTAGTAATACTGCCTGACCCTTTATAGGCAAAAATTGGTAATCCTTGGTTTAGTTGATTGCAGGGTAAGAGCTGGGAGTTGGTCTTTTTT